GAAACTTTTTCCGCAGTCTAAGCACTTATGGGGTCTCTCTCCAGTGTGGACTGCCTGATGATCAAGTAGGGTTGACCTCCATATGAAACTTTTTCCACAGTCTAAGCACAGATGGGGGCTTCCCACAGAGGTCCCCTGTGATTCCCCGTGTCCAGGAACTTCCTGCTGTTGATTCCCCTCCTCGTTCTCACTCATTCTCTCATCACCTGCTGGGAGAGAGACAATCCAGACAGGAGTTATTGTGCTGGTGAGAGATTAAGAGGAATAGCAGCAAGGGAAAACCCAACATACTAAAGCTGCAGAGACGGAGCAATTGGATTCTGCCTCCACTTCCCAACCAAACGTTCACAGAGAAGGAAAGTTGGGAAGGAAACTCCTGCAGGTAACAGGACACATGGAAAGCGATGTCATTGATATCTGCTGACTGCAGCCCTGCCCTGGGTGAGATGAGGAAGGAACTAAGGGCACTTATTGATACCACATTTTGGGGACTCTCACCTTTTTTCTTCATTCCCCAGATGGTTTGTGTGTCTGTCCTCACCTGTGCGGGCGCCTCTCGGGATCTCTCTTTCCTCGCAGGCCTGGAGATTGGGCACCCACGGCTCTTCCCCTTGTTCCAGCCGGGTGATCAGGTCTGGTTTGGGAAGGGGGAATCCTGTGCAGGGAGTGAAATCAGACCAGATCAGGGTGCATGGAAGATTGAGAGAGCGTCTGTCAGAAAGGACATTCCATGAGCGGAACCTGTCCCTGTGCTGTGCTGGGGAATGTGGAATCTAAGGGGACGGGAACGTGGACACTGAGACCCCTCGGGGGAGGCAGACATCTGGTGAGGTGAGAGGAACTGTGATACACACCCAGCTCTAGTGTTAAACCCCTGCCTATTTCTAAACCTGTGGAGCTCAGAGCCCTCCACAAGGCTGGAGCTGTTCCCAAGGAGGAGGGAGAAGAGGGATTCTGTGAGTGACTGAGGAACAACACAGACAGGACAATACACGGCTTTTCCACCTTTCAAACTAGGGGTGTTGGGTGGGGATGATTTAATATGTGCCTTAGGTTTGGACACCCTGGTCTCATTGGAGAGTGATGAGGGAAGAACCTGACCGGTGTCAGACACGCAGACCCCCTCCGCCCCCAAGCTTCCAATAACCAAGGGGGCGGGAATCCCTTACCCAGAGATGTCACTGTCTCATAGTTCTCCCGCAT